CGTGCTCTGATGGTTCATAGCATATGAATAGATTCCTTACCAAACTGAAAACACAGGAGAAAAAGTTCTACTCAAACAGCACCAGAGAGTAGTGGGCACAGAGCCATAAACGTCTCTCGCGACTCCTGTCTGAGGTTCACGTGGGGCCTTACAGACATTGAGGGGAAATTCAAAACCTTCCCCAGGGACTGAGGTCATGTTTGGAGGTGCCCACTGAGGCACAGAGTTCGAGCTGGCCTGATGCTTCCATCCGCCATCGTTGCTGTCAGCCTCGGAGTGAGACGAAGTTCAGCATTTCCAAACGTGGCCACCTCCACCCAGACGTGCAGAGGAGCTGAGCTCCCATCAATCCCTTCTGAGGCTAATGGCAGACACAGGTGCTTGGCACTCTGGTGATTGGGTTGCTAAACATGCGACTTTTGTTAGGGAGCAACGGGCAGGCGTCAGGAGGTGCTCGGGATACCTTTCCTTTGACTCCCAGAGTCTAGGAAGGAAGCTGCCCTGGGGAACAGGTGACTCAGGGCTGCCTGCAGTAGGCATTTTGCACCTGCCTTGGTGGAACTGGATGCTAAATCAGCTTATCTTTCTGTGCCTCAGTTTCCCCCATCCTTCGTCTGTTTGCTGTCTTTAGATTGTAAGCTCGGGAGGGCAGAGACTGTGGTGCACCATGGCATAATGGGGCTCTGACCCTTGATGAGTCGTGTAGCCTAGATATAATACTAACCTGCCCAGAGGACAGTTTCTTCCCAGTGCCCGTCCTCCCAGAGGTAGGATACTGGGCTTGACAGACTGTGGGTCTGATCTGTTGTGGAACATTCCCTACATTACTTGAGTGTAATGACTTTCCCATCTGTCAAGACCACAGTGCCTGAGGAGGGAGAGATAGGCTGTAACAATGACCAGGCACAGAAAGGCAGGGAACATAAGAACGGCCATACAGAGTCAGACCAAAGGTTCATCTAGCCCAGTATCCTGTCTGTTGACAGTGGCCAATGCCAGATGCCCCAGAGGGACTGAACAGAGAATCGCGTGCCCTCAGCAACCCTACAGGGCTGGCAGAGAACCATCTCCCTCCAGAGGAGAATTGCTCATGCGTTGCCATCACTGCCGGCCAAGCTGAACAACATGGGAAAGCAGCAGGGATGTGACCGAAAATAGCCTCTAGGGGCCTAAATTCAGAGTTGGTTCCTTCCGCCAGCCTTGCAGAGTGGCACAGGGCGTGTGGATGAGCTGGATTCCATGCGAGTCAGACAGCAGCCACAGAACTGAATGGCCCTTCCCCCTCAAACAGCATCAGAAATTCATGACACCTGTTCGGCCCCACCATCCCATCTGGGCCAGAGTCCCTAGTGAGGAGGCCCAAGTGGCCAAGCTAGGTTTTGGAGCTGACCGGTGCCTAGTAAAGTCATGTTCTATTTCCCAACTTGTGGGAACCGCTAAGCTCCCGGGAACACCAGTCTCTACCAAGATTATCACTTAGACTACGGTTATATTGGGTGTCGGCTTGGAAGGCTTGGAAGAAGGTGAAAGTTAAGGTCTGATTCATTGCTGTCGACACCAATTTTGCAGCCCCTCCAGTGTCAAAAATGACATTGCAGCATGGTGATTTAAGCCCTTTGCCTCCTTTTTACCCTCCACTCTGAATTTGCCCTCTGTCCGTTCCATCAGACCTAGACAGCTGAGCTTCAGTGTCTGCAGCTACTGATCTGCAGCCTCTCCTCCTTCGTTTCTGGATCCGATCTCTAGTGGAGAAGGGTAGAACCCCCAGAGGAATCCTAGAGCACTAGAACTGGAAGGGATCTCGAGCCCCCTGCACTCACGGCAGGACCAAGCGCCGTCTAGATCATTCCCGATAATAGTCTATCTAACCCGCTCTTAAATATCTCCACTGATGGAGATTCCACAACCTCCCTAGGCAATTTATTCTAGTGTTTAACCACCCTGACTGGTAGGAAGTTTTTCCTAATGTCCAACCTAAACCTCCCTTGCTGCAATTTAAGCCCATTGCTTCTTGTCCTATCCTCAGAGGCCAAGAAGAACCAATTTTCTTCCTTCTCCGTGTAACACCCTTTTGAGTACTTGAAAATAGATATCATGTCCCTCTCAGGCTATGTCTAAACCATGGGGGTTTTGCGGGATACCAGAAGTCTCCTGCAAAGACTTCGCCGCATCCAAGGAACGCATTTGCTCTTCCGCTTTTTTTGGAGGAGCCTGTATACCTGATTTCATGAGGCATAAGGCTCCGCTGAAAGAGGAGGCTTTTCTGCCATTTGGCCCCATCTAGAGAGGGCCAAATGGCAGAAAAGCCTCTTAAAAAAAAAGCGGAAAAATTTACTCAAAATGTGGAGCGCATTTTGCATAGCTTTTTCCGCAGAAATGCCGCAGTCTAAACCTAGCCTCCGTCCTCTCTTTTCCAAACTGAACAAGCCCAGATCTTTCAGTCTTCCCTCATAGCTCCTGTTCTCTAGACCTTTAATCAGTTTTGTTGCTCTTCTCTGGACCCTCTCCAATTTCTCCACATCTTTCTTGAAATGTGGTGTCTAGAACGGGACACAATACTCCAAATGAGGCCTAATCAGTGCAGAGTAGAGCGGTATTATTTCTCATGTCTGGCTCACAACACTCCTGTTAATGCCTCCCAGAATCAGGAAAACACAGGAGAAAAAGTTCTACTCAAACAGCACCAGAGAGTAGTGGGCACAGAGCCACAAACGTCTCTCGCGGTGCCTGTCTGAGGTTTACGTGGGGCCTTACAGACATTGAGGGGAAATTCAAAACTTTCCCCAGGGACTGAGGTCATGTTTGGAGGTGCCCACTGAGGCACAGAGTTCGAGCTGGCCTGATGCTTCCATCCGCCATCGTTGCTGTCAGCCTCGGAGCGAGACGAAGTTCAGCATTTCCAAACATGGCCACCTCCACCCAGACATGCAGAGGAACTGAGCTCCCATCAATCCCTTCTAAGGCTAATGGCGGACACAGGTGCTTGGCACTCTGGTGATCGGGCTGCTAAGTTTAAACATGAGACTTTTGTTAGGGAGCAATGGGCAGGCATCAGGAGGTGCTCAGGATACCTTTCCTTTGACTCCCAGAGTCTAGGAAGGAAGCTGCCCTGGGGAACAGGTGACTCAGGGCTGCTTGCAGTAGGCATTTTGCACCTGCCTTGGTGGAACTGGATGCTAAATCAGCTTATCTTTCTGTGCCTCAGTTTCCCCCATCCTTCGTCTGTTTGCTGTCTTTAGATTGTAAGCTCGGGAGGGCAGAGACTGTGGTGCACCATGGCATAATGGGGCTCTGACCCTTGATGAGTCGTGTAGCCTAGATATAATACTAACCTGCCCAGAGGACAGTTTCTTCCCAGTGCCCGTCCTCCCAGAGGTAGGATACTGGGCTTGACAGACTGTGGGTCTGATCTGTTGTGGAACATTCCCTACATTACTTGAGTGTAATGACTTTCCCATCTGTCAAGACCACAGTGCCTGAGGAGGGAGAGATAGGCTGTAACAATGACCAGGCACAGAAAGGCAGGGAACATAAGAACGGCCATACAGAGTCAGACCAAAGGTTCATCTAGCCCAGTATCCTGTCTGTTGACAGTGGCCAATGCCAGATGCCCCAGAGGGACTGAACAGAGAATCGCGTGCCCTCAGCAACCCTACAGGGCTGGCAGAGAACCATCTCCCTCCAGAGGAGAATTGCTCATGCGTTGCCATCACTGCCGGCCAAGCTGAACAACATGGGAAAGCAGCAGGGATGTGACCGAAAATAGCCTCTAGGGGCCTAAATTCAGAGTTGGTTCCTTCCGCCAGCCTTGCAGAGTGGCACAGGGCGTGTGGATGAGCTGGATTCCATGCGAGTCAGACAGCAGCCACAGAACTGAATGGCCCTTCCCCCTCAAACAGCATCAGAAATTCATGACACCTGTTCGGCCCCACCATCCCATCTGGGCCAGAGTCCCTAGTGAGGAGGCCCAAGTGGCCAAGCTAGGTTTTGGAGCTGACCGGTGCCTAGTAAAGTCATGTTCTATTTCCCAACTTGTGGGAACCGCTAAGCTCCCGGGAACACCTGCTAAGCTCCCTGCTAAGCCCACAGGTGTGTTGTAAGCAAAACTCATGAAGTCATTCTGCCCCTCTACTCTGCACTAGTTAGGCCTCAGCTGGAGTACTGTGTCCAGTTCTGGGCGCCACATTTCAAGAAAGATGTGGAGAAATTGGAAAGGGTACAGAGAAGAGCGACAAGAATGATTAAAGGTCTAGAGAACATGACCTATGAAGCCAGGCTTCATGAACTGGGCTTGTTTAGCTTGGAAAAAAGAAGATTAAGGGGGGACATGAGAGCGGTTTTCAAATATCTAAAAGGGTGTCACAAAGAGGAAGGAGAAAATTTGTTCCTCTTGGTTTCTGAGGACAGGACAAGGAGTAATGGGCTTAAAGTGCAGCAAGGGAGGTTTAGATTGGACATTAGGAAAAAATTCCTAACCGTCAGGGTGGTCAAATATTGCAATAAATTGCCAAGGGAGGTATTAATATTATTATACCCTTCCCTAATTACTATTTACAGATTTCCTAATTAAATCAATACTTTTCTATGCTACAAACTTTCCAAATTAGCAGGTTACAGAGATGACAAGAAATTTAACTCTGAAATATTTATACAGGGCCAGTGAGAGCAGGTAAAAGACACAACTAAGAAGAGCAATTGCATGCCTATTTTTTTAGGATGCAAAAATGAAGGGAAACATCATATTTATGCATCAGAAAGGATAATATCTGCTTTGGCCAGACCCTAATCTATCTTTCCAGACTGCAGAAACAAAGGGAAAAAACATGTTCAAGGGTAGTGGACTAAAAAGTGTTGATTTAATTAGACATGTAAATAGTAATTAGGGGCAGGTATAATAATATTCATCTCCTTCTTATTAATATTCATTGTATGGGAGTTAATATACCAAATAAGGTTTTAGGGAAACCTTACGTAGCCCAACAGACCTTAGGTTTGAAGATGTTGGCAGGGGAAGGGGTGTGTTGATATGAAGAAATGGAAGAACTGAACATTTAGCTGGGATACAACATCCAAGTGGAATTCCCATTTGTGTCTTCTGGCCAGGCCCATGGGTCCCCCTTTAATTTAGCTTGATGAAGCAATTCACCTGAATTTTCCAGGAAATGTGATGGTGAAAGTCTGTCACATTGGATTGTTTTTCCACCCCAATGTTCTTAGCATGGCTTTGCGGATCTGTTTGGATTTGACGCTGTATATGATCGGGTTTAAGACAGGGGGCACAATCAGGTAGACATAGCCCACCACAATGTTAACCATGGCAGGAACGTTGTTACCAAAGCGATGGATAATGGACAGCCCAATCATTGGGATGAAGAAGATGAGGACGGTGCAGATATGGGAGACACATGTGTTCAATGCCTTGAGGCATTTTTCCTGGGTGGTGAGACTGATCACAGTCTTAAGGATCAGAACGTAAGATAGCACGATGAACACGAAATCCACGCCCACCGTTGACAGAATGACAATTAAGCCGTACAGGATGTTGACCCTTATATCGGCACATGCCAGCTTCATGATATCGGGGTGAAAGCAAAAGGAGTGGGAGAGCTCATTTCTCCCACCGTAGGTTAACCTCTTGAGCAGAAAGGGTATTGGGAAAAGAGAGACCACAGCTCTCAAAACAATGGCCAGTCCTATTTTAACAATGGTCGGCTTGGTCAAGATGGACGTATATCTCAGAGGGTTGGAGATTGCAATGTAACGATCGAAGGCCATGGCCAGAAGCACGGAGGATTCCATCATGGACAGGATATGGATAAAATACATCTGGGCGAGACATGCATCAAACTCGATTTTTCGGTGATTAAACCATAAGATGCCCAGCGTGGTAGGAAGGGTCGACAGAGCCAGGCCCAGGTCCATGACGGCCAGCATGGAAAGGAAGTAATACGTCGGCTTATGAAGACTTTGGGTCTTCTTAATGATGAGCAGGATCAGGCAGTTCCCTGACAGGGCGATGAGATAGAAGGCGCAGAAGGGGATGGAGATCCAGTGGTGGTTGGCTTCCAGCCCCGGAAAGCCCGTCAGGAGGAAGGAGGAAGGCTGATAGAAGGAGGTGTTGTCAGGTGGCCTGGGATCACAGGGCTGCTCCATCCCACCTCAGATATCCGACAGCCTACGGTTAAAAACAAAAGAGCAACACCTCGCCCATGTCATTTGATGCTGTACAGTGTGTACAACCCTATAAAAATACACCCGCATTGGATTACACATGACCACAAAAGTACCAAAGCCCCTCATAGGACTAGATGCTGTATTGAACCGACCATCATGTAACAATAATGTAATTACACTGCTAGAGGGTAAACAGCCATTAAACACCAACCAAATGCCCATGTTTAGATACTGCCGTGTAACCCAATGCAGAATTTCTTAGGCACCGGGGAGTCTCTACCAAGATTATCACTTAGACTACGGTTATATTGGGTGTCGGCTTGGAAGGCTTGGAAGAAGGTGAAAGTTAAGGTCTGATTCATTGCTGTCGACACCAATTTTGCAGCCCCTCCAGTGTCAAAAATGACATTGCAGCATGGTGATTTAAGCCCTTTGCCTCCTTTTTACCCTCCACTCTGAATTTGCCCTCTGTCCGTTCCATCAGACCTAGACAGCTGAGCTTCAGTGTCTGCAGCTACTGATCTGCAGCCTCTCCTCCTTCGTTTCTGGATCCGATCTCTAGTGGAGAAGGGTAGAACCCCCAGAGGAATCCTAGAGCACTAGAACTGGAAGGGATCTCGAGCCCCCTGCACTCACGGCAGGACCAAGCGCCGTCTAGATCATTCCCGATAATAGTCTATCTAACCCGCTCTTAAATATCTCCACTGATGGAGATTCCACAACCTCCCTAGGCAATTTATTCTAGTGTTTAACCACCCTGACTGGTAGGAAGTTTTTCCTAATGTCCAACCTAAACCTCCCTTGCTGCAATTTAAGCCCATTGCTTCTTGTCCTATCCTCAGAGGCCAAGAAGAACCAATTTTCTTCCTTCTCCGTGTAACACCCTTTTGAGTACTTGAAAATAGATATCATGTCCCTCTCAGGCTATGTCTAAACCATGGGGGTTTTGCGGGATACCAGAAGTCTCCTGCAAAGACTTCGCCGCATCCAAGGAACGCATTTGCTCTTCCGCTTTTTTTGGAGGAGCCTGTATACCTGATTTCATGAGGCATAAGGCTCCGCTGAAAGAGGAGGCTTTTCTGCCATTTGGCCCCATCTAGAGAGGGCCAAATGGCAGAAAAGCCTCTTAAAAAAAAAGCGGAAAAATTTACTCAAAATGTGGAGCGCATTTTGCATAGCTTTTTCCGCAGAAATGCCGCAGTCTAAACCTAGCCTCCGTCCTCTCTTTTCCAAACTGAACAAGCCCAGATCTTTCAGTCTTCCCTCATAGCTCCTGTTCTCTAGACCTTTAATCAGTTTTGTTGCTCTTCTCTGGACCCTCTCCAATTTCTCCACATCTTTCTTGAAATGTGGTGTCTAGAACGGGACACAATACTCCAAATGAGGCCTAATCAGTGCAGAGTAGAGCGGTATTATTTCTCATGTCTGGCTCACAACACTCCTGTTAATGCCTCCCAGAATCAGGAAAACACAGGAGAAAAAGTTCTACTCAAACAGCACCAGAGAGTAGTGGGCACAGAGCCATAAACGTCTCTCGCGACTCCTGTCTGAGGTTCACGTGGGGCCTTACAGACATTGAGGGGAAATTCAAAACCTTCCCCAGGGACTGAGGTCATGTTTGGAGGTGCCCACTGAGGCACAGAGTTCGAGCTGGCCTGATGCTTCCATCCGCCATCGTTGCTGTCAGCCTCGGAGTCAAACGTCTCTCGCGGTGCCTGTCTGAGGTTTACGTGGGGCCTTACAGACATTGAGGGGAAATTCAAAACTTTCCCCAGGGACTGAGGTCATGTTTGGAGGTGCCCACTGAGGCACAGAGTTCGAGCTGGCCTGATGCTTCCATCCGCCATCGTTGCTGTCAGCCTCGGAGCGAGACGAAGTTCAGCATTTCCAAACGTGGCCACCTCCACCCAGACGTGCAGAGGAGCTGAGCTCCCATCAATCCCTTCTGAGGCTAATGGCAGACACAGGTGCTTGGCACTCTGGTGATTGGGTTGCTAAACATGCGACTTTTGTTAGGGAGCAACGGGCAGGCGTCAGGAGGTGCTCGGGATACCTTTCCTTTGACTCCCAGAGTCTAGGAAGGAAGCTGCCCTGGGGAACAGGTGACTCAGGGCTGCCTGCAGTAGGCATTTTGCACCTGCCTTGGTGGCACTGGATGCTAAATCAGCTCATCTCTCTGTGCCTCAGTTTCCCCCATCCTTCGTCTGTTTGCTGTCTTTAGATTGTAAACTTGGGAGGGCAGAGACTGTGGTGCACCATGGCATAATGGGGCTCTGACCCTTGATGAGTCGTGTAGCCTAGATATAATACTAACCTGCCCAGAGGACAGTTTCTTCCCAGTACCCGTCCTCCCAGAGGTAGGATACTGGGCTTGACAGACTGTGGGTCTGATCTGTTGTGGAACATTCCCTACATTACTTGAGTGTAATGACTTTCCCATCTGTCAAGACCACAGTGCCTGAGGAGGGAGAGATAGGCTGTAACAATGATCAGGCACAGAAAGGCAGGGAACATAAGAATGGCCATACAGAGTCAGGCCAAAGGTTCATCTAGCCCAGTATCCTGTCTGTTGACAGTGGCCAATGCCAGATGCCCCAGAGGGACTGAACAGAGAATCGCGTGCCCTCAGCAACCCTACAGGGCTGGCAGAGAACCATCTCCCTCCAGAGGAGAATGCCTGTCATCCTGGCCTTCACAACATCCCCTGGCGAGGAGTTCCACAGGTTGACTGTGCACAGCATGAGGTTAAAACTTCCTTTTTGTTTGTTTTAAACCCGCTACCTATTCATTGTATCTGGTGACCCCTCGTTTCATTTGGTGATCCCTTGAGGGTTCTGCCCGTGACCTTCACTGTGTTCTTGGAGTGATTCCTTCCTGTGTCTCTGCTTGTGGTGAGAAAGCTTTACCCAAGAGTGACTTCTGCTAGGGAATCACATGCCCTCAGCAACCCTACAGGGCTGGCAGAGAACCATCTCCCTCCAGAGGAGAATTGCTCATGCGTTGCCATCACTGCCGGCCAAGCTGAACAACATGGGAAAGCAGCAGGGATGTGACCGAAAATAGCCTCTAGGGGCCTAAATTCAGAGTTGGTTCCTTCCGCCAGCCTTGCAGAGTGGCACAGGGCGTGTGGATGAGCTGGATTCCATGCGAGTCAGACAGCAGCCACAGAACTGAATGGCCCTTCCCCCTCAAACAGCATCAGAAATTCATGACACCTGTTCGGCCCCACCATCCCATCTGGGCCAGAGTCCCTAGTGAGGAGGCCCAAGTGGCCAAGCTAGGTTTTGGAGCTGACCGGTGCCTAGTAAAGTCATGTTCTATTTCCCAACTTGTGGGAACCGCTAAGCTCCCGGGAACACCCGCTAAGCTCCCTGCTAAGCCCACAGGTGTGTTGTAAGCAAAACTCGTGAAGTCATTCTGCCGCTCTACTCTGCACTAGTTAGGCCTCAGCTGGAGTACTGTGTCCAGTTCTGGGCGCCACATTTCAAGAAAGATGTGGAGAAATTGGAAAGGGTACAGAGAAGAGCGACAAGAATGATTAAAGGTCTAGAGAACATGACCTATGAAGCCAGGCTTCATGAACTGGGCTTGTTTAGTTTGGAAAAAAGAAGATTAAGGGGGGACATGATAGCGGTTTTCAAATATCTAAAAGGGTGTCACAAGGAGGAAGGAGAAAATTTGTTCCTCTTGGTTTCTGAGGACAGGACAAGGAGTAATGGGCTTAAAGTGCAGCAGGGGAGGTTTAGATTGGACATTAGGAAAAAATTCCTAACTGTCAGGGTGGTCAAATATTGGAATAAATTGCCAAGGGAGGTGGTGGAATCTCCCTCTCTGGAGATATTTAAGAACAGGTTAGATAGACATCTGTCAGGGATGGTGTAGACGGAGCTTGGTCCTGTCTTGAGGGCAGGGGGCTGGACTCGATGACCTCTTGAGGTCCCTTCCAGTCCTATGATTCTATGATTCTATGAACCCTCTGGTGCCTTTTCCCAACTGTCAACGTTTACTCACCAGGCTCTCGCAGCAGTGGGAAGTCACAGCCGGCCCTTTCGTTCCAAACAGGCACAATCCAATTCCAGACGGAGAGAAGAACTCACATCAGTCTCCCAGGGCAGGGCAGGCATTATATAGGACCCCTCCCGAAAATGATCCAGATGGGGGCACTTAGCCAGTTGGGTGTCTCAGAGGAGTCCAGTGAGGGTAAACACTGGGAAATGTATGAGGGAAAACACTCTGGGAAGTAAATCTTTTCCATTTATGAGGCTTTCTCAGTGGAGCTGCTCCCCCCGCTTGCTGGTTTATTAGGCAGTGTCTTTACAGTTCACCCTGATTTATGATGGACAAAGTCAGAGGGCTGGAATACAAATAAACTTTTATTGTGAGAATGAACCTGTCATGAAAAGAGGAATAACTTGTGTGGAAAACAGCCATCACATGCTGCCGAGGGAATTGGAGAGGTGAATGGGACCAGCCGTTCCCACCCTGCTCTGGATTTATTTGAAAACCATCACATATTATGCAGTGCACAATAAAAACGATAAAGTCGTCCAGCCCCAGAATAAAGAAGCATTATGAGCTATAGAGCTGTCTAGTCTCATGAAACGCCGACATGCCTCCTGTTAATAAACTGAGTGTCGCAACCTCTGCTGTAAGATAGAGGAGCTGCTCTCAACCAGGTGTACGGATGGGGAAACTGAGGCACCAAGCAAGGAAGGGATTTTCCCAAATTCATACAGGGCACCCACCAAAGAACAGGAATCAAACTGAGCTTTCCTAAAACCCCGTCTGGCTCCTTAGCCACAAGAGCATCCTGCCACCCACCGTGTCACAACGTGGATCGTGGCTTGTGCTCTTGCTGGAGGAGAGATAGGTTGGTCCCACGGTGCAAAGGAATGGTGCTCACAGGGAGACAGCTTCTGCTCTGGTTCTTTCCCGGGCTCTTCCTTTCAACAGCTCTGGCCCATGTAGTAACTTCTGACTATTCCATCTCCTCATGGTCCTGTCACCCACGTTCCACATGCAGATCCTGGGCACGTGCCAGCACCTCTGTACACAAAGGTACGACAGTCAGCTGGGCCATGTGTCTTAAAGGGCCTGCATGTCTTAAAAGGGCAATGCCAGCCCCACCCCAGCTTTTTTTTTTCCGCTCAACAACTTTTCCCGTAGAGTACCGGCCTTTTTTTTTTTTAAACAAAAAATCACGGACGCCGCCCATCTGCGGGGTTCTCTTGGGAGTGTCATCCAGGCCCCAGCTGGCTCCATGGGCCAGTTTGTGGCCTTGCTATTGGAACCTCTCTCTGGCCAGTTGGGCTTCTGGCTGCTTTTCCATTTTGGAGTCTTTCCCTTCCGTTTGATCTTGTGTGCCCGGCCAGTTCTCCTCACTCCTCTGCTAGCTTTTAGCTTTGGCATGGAGGTTGCCTGTCATCTGCGATGAACACGACAGGACTCAGCGATGTGTATGCCTGGCCGTGTGTGTGTCAAACGACTATAGCCGCAGAGTCAAAAAATCAAGGTAGGAAACGCCAGAATTAACATTGTCCTCAAGCTTTAATCCCCTTCTCTTGCCTGTTCAGACATTCATGTATGATTGTGGTTTTAATGTGGCAGGAGCTAGAGGGACCCGCTGGGACTGGGGCCCCGTTGTGCAGGGTCCTGTCTGCTCATGGGGAGCTCACAGTCTAGACCTGTAGTTTTCAAACTTGTTTCCCTGTGACCCAGTTGAAGAAAATTGTTGGTGTCCCCGACCCAAATTTTGACTAGAATGAGGGCTATGGGGTGGGGCTGGGATGGGGTGGAGGGAGGAGGGGGCTCTACCTGGGGGTTCTAGACTCTGGGATGAATTAGGCTGAGGCTTTTGGAGTACAATAGGCGGTGCCAGGCTGGGGGCAGGGCAGAGAGGTTCAGGGTGTGAAAGGAAGCTCTGGGCTGGGGTGGGGGTGGGTTTAAGGGGGGGTGCAGGCCCCATCTTAGGGTGCAGGCTCAGGGGTGTGATGGAGATGAGGTGTTTGGAGGGTAGGAGGGGGCTGTGGGTTTGGAGAGGCTCAGGGCTGGGCCAGGTGCTCAGAGTTTGGTCCGGAGCTTTCTTCTGCCAGCTCCCAATGAGCAGTGCAGTAGAGGGAATAAGGCAGTTTCCAGCCTGTCTCGGCAAAGGGGAATGCACGGCACCCCCAGAACTCAGCAGGCTGAGTTCACAGGCCGAGGTGCACAAGTTGCCCTGCACGCTGCTTACACCCACAGGCACCAGTCCCCAGAGCGGATGCCCAGGAGGCCGTGCAGGGAGCCCCATCCAGCCCCTCCTCAGAGCTGGAGCAGCCGCTGGCTGTTTCTGGGGCACAAAGGGGTCTGCAGTGCCAGGATGGAGAGTCACACAAGCCTGCTGTAGGTCCCCTGCTGGTTGCCTGGTCACCCTACTGCCAGGCGACCCAGTGCCTGACCCAGTCCTGGGGCGCGACCCTTAGGTTGACGCTGCTGGAGGCAGACTTCGGGGAGAGAAACTCGAAGCACGGAGAGAGGACACAATGTGCCTACAGCCACCCAGTGGCAGAGCCAGGACAGAACCCAGTTAGTCGCAATTAGGGTATTTTTCTTTATTTTTGCTCTGTGTGAATCCATGCTTCCCCTCCCCCCATTCACCTTCTAAGAGTTGTTCCCCAAGATTGTCATTGAACCATAGAGCTGGAAGAGACCTCAGAAGGTCATCAAGTCCAGCCCCCTGCTCTAGGCAGGACCAATCCCAACTAAATCAACCCGGCCAGGGCTTTGTCAAGCCGAGACTTAAACACCATATGGAATTTTATTTTCAATCTTATTGTTGACTCTAAAGTCACAACAGACAATTGTGAAATGAAGAGAAAATTCCTGCCACAGTATTTTAGCTCTATGACATATTCCCAGACCAGGGTCTGAAGACTCTCCTTGTATACCAGGGATTGATCCTTTTCCTAATAGGAGCAGCTGTTAGCTTTTTTGAAAGGGCATAGAATCATAGAACACTAGGGGTACATCTAAACTACATGCCTCCGTCGACGGAGGCATGTAGATTTGTGTATTCGAAAAAGGGAAATGAAACCGCGATTAAAATAATCACGGCTTCATTTAAATTTACATGGCTCAGTGCGCTAGTCTGGACACTCCCGCGCCGACCTGAAAGCCCTTTATCGACCTCCCCGTTATGCCTTGTAGGATGAGGTTTACCGGGGAGGTCGATAAAAGGCTTTCATGTCGGCAGGGGAGCGTCCAGACTAGCGCAGTGATCCGACAAACAGCTGATCAGCTGTTTGTCGGCTCAGCGCGGCAGCCATGTAAATTTAAATGAAGCTTCGATTATTTAAATTGCAGCTTCATTTCCCTTTGCCAGACAAACAAATCTACATGGCTCCATTGATGGAGCCATGTAGTTTAGACGTATCCAGGAAGTTGAAGGCTGCTATCAAATCCCCCCTCGCTCTTCGCTTCTGCAGACTAAACAGATCCAACTCCCTCAGCCTCTTCTCATAGGTCATATGCTCCAGCCCCCTAATCATTTTGGTTGCCCTCCGCTGGACCCTCTCTAATGGGTCCACATCCTTTTTGTCTCTGTATTTTAATTTGTTTTGTTTTGTGTTTTAATTTGTTGCTCTCTAACACCCAGCAATCAAGTATGTTTTTTTCAAGTATATCTCCTGTTTTGTAAAAAAACCCACTTTTTTAAGGTGCTGATTTGATTCTTGTGTCCTGGAAGGTAACAGGAGCTCTCTGTCTGTGTGTGTCTGCCTGCCTAGACCAAGGGGTCAGCCACCAGAGACTGCAGCTTGTTTTCCTCCTTTCTTTTTGAAGCTCTTTTGGGGCAAAAGAGAAGGAATTCAAGTGTTCCTTCCTATTTTTTGCAGGGTTAAATCACTTGAATAAGCTTTTGCTTATTTCTCAGAGCCAGCGTATCTGTGACTCTGGGGAGGTTTTGTAAGCGGAGACTAGAGACAAAGTATTTAAAAACTTTGCGGGCCCGCATCTTCTGCACTTGGAGGGCCAGAGTAGGGAACAGCCCTGACAGACACCAACTGGGGGATCCGTTCCTTAGCGTTCCCATTGAGACAAAAGCCACTTCCCCATGCCAGGCAGGGAGGCAGCCCCGCCTGGCAAACTAGCTGAAGTGAAGTTAATGTTTATTCTGGGGTCCTTCCTAGAATCATAGAATCCTAGGACTGGGAGAGACCTCGGGAGTCATCCAGTCCAGCCCCCTGCCCAAGGCAGGACCAATCCCAACTCAATCAACCCAGCCAGGTCTTTGTCAAGTAGAAACTTAAAAACTTCTAGGGATGGAGATTCCAACCCCTCCCTAGGGAACCCATCCCAGGGCTTCACCACCGTCCTAGGGAAATAGCTTTTCCTAATGTCCAACCTAGACCATCCCCATTGTAACTTCCTGCCACTGATCCTTTTTGTATTTATCATGCAGCCCGGGGGTTAGCAAGTGAACTTCGCTTTGAGTGTGAAGAGAGACCATGTGATGATGAAGGGGGGGGGGCTACTGGGGGATCCTCCTGTGGGAAAATGTTTTGAAGACCCCCTGTGCAATCAGGTACCCCCACAACAAGGTGCACGTTCAAAGTCTGTAGATGAGCTCCAGGGATAAAACAGGGAGCTGGCAGAGTCCAGGAGAAGGTGACACCATCCAACGCTTGAGTGGACATTCCGTCTCCAATGGCACATAGACCACATGGCTCGTCCAGTGTGTGGGGAGAACTTCACACCATTTATCTACTGCGGTGCTCTGAGCAGACCTTAGGGTGCAGAATTCCTCCGGGACTGAGCACCTAGCGCCCTAGAACAATCTGCCACGTGCGCCTGAATGAAAAGGCGAGAAATACAAAAGCAAAGCTTATTGCTTGTGCGACGGACCCTCCCCCCCCCAAGCTTTATAGAACGGACTTATGGACATGAATGTACATACTGCAAAGGTGCTCTGAGCAAATTATTTCATGTAACCCATCAATCTCCATGGCATGATCTGCTGGTTCTGTTGATCTTACGTTGACGTGTGTATTGTTTTTGTGTGTAAAATTAGACTTACGGCGTGGGGGATACTTTGTGTGTTTCAAATGTGTGTATGAGAGACATGGGGAGTGTTACCCACAATGCCTTGATGAGCCACT